TGTGAGGATTGAGGAACATACCATCATGCAGAGTCTTAGCAGCTGGGACAAGACTTGATATTCTCCTCCTTTGGTTTGTTCTCTAGACTTCATCATTTAATGAAAAATATAATTTTTCTTCTGTAATGTTTTTTTTTTCAGCATCTTATTGTCATTACACTGTCACAAGTAAAGATCAACGAAACTCAAACTCTGCATTTAAGCCATCCCCTTGGGGAGCAGTGGACTGCCATTGTGCGCTGCCTGGGGAGCAGTGTGGGTCTTGCTCAGGAACCCAGAGTGGCAGTCCATGGGAGAGGGGCTTGAACTCAGAACCTCAGGATTCCAAGTGCAATGCCCTAACCATTAGGCTGCCACTCCCATATATACAAAAAAGATTCCTGGAGTTAAAAATTGGAGTTAAAAATGTCTATTTATTGTCAATCCATATATTGCTGTTCCTTTGGGATGTCAAAGAGGAGCCCTTTTTCTCTGCTGCTCTTCAAAAGAGAAAAGACAAAAAACAAAAAAAATCTGTGTTAATTATCACAAATCAGACTATTGGATATGCTGAGTCTGTTACTTCCTTCAACTGAAGATTTTTTTTAGAATTTTCAAAATCTATTCTTATCTATATTCTTGCAGCTTTGTGGCCTCTTTGTTCCTCGTTGACATCGCTCCTTTGATGTGTCCCCATGTTTTTATGTTTTCCCTGTTTTCGAATCGATGCCTTTTCTTTTTACTCAGTTTTTGAGTGCATCATCATCATCATCCCTGGTATTGTTTAGTTTTGGACTTTTTTAGGGCATCTATTGGTGTCCCATGTCATGCCTATTAGTTATTTAATACCTTGGGCATTCTGTTAATTGTTGTTAAGTGTGGTTTATAAATAAACTAGAAAAACACTCAGAGTGCAGACCTCTATGAAGCAGCAAATTTTCACCTGTATTGTGACTTAAACATACAGCTAAAAGTCACACATGATCTGGATCATTACCAAATTTTAATGAATTGATCCTTGACACAAGGCACGCCTCAGATAAAAATTTTGTTAGAATCCGTTTGTAACTTTTTCAGTTATCCTGTACACAGAAAGAAAAAAGGAAACCTTAGTTTCTTTTAAATCTATTTATATTTAAGAATGTTCACATATTGTGTGTCTCCCTTTTTGTGTAACATCAGTAAAAAGGTCTGCAAACCTCAATATTAAAACATATTTTTCAATCTAAAATTACAATGCTTCTAAAAACAATCACTTGTTCTAAAGGTTTTCATGTGGTTACCAAATGGTAACTAATTACCTAAGTACCTACGTTCTAGTTTTATTTTAGTTTGTTCAATTTTACCCAGCTTTAACAAAAAAAATATTTCATTTTGCAAATCAATTAATCTGTTGATTATTTTTTCGCTTAATCGATAAATAATAGCATAGCCAAAGGTTCCTTAAATAAGATCTTTTACGAAAATAAGCCAGCTGAAACAAAAACTTTTCACTTCGAGGAGTTCTGAATAGAGCATATTAACAAATGAAAAGTTTATTTTTTTAAATCTTAAATGAAAAATATTTATATATATTTTTTAATTTTGATGTAAATACTGCTTTAAGTGAGTGGCTTAAAACATTGTAAAGGCATGTTTTAGAGTCTCTAAACTCCAGCTAACAATTAATCAATTACTAAATTAGTTGACTATTATTTCAATAATCGATTAAACCGATAATTGTTTCAGCCTAATACAGACATAAACATTAAACTAGCTTGCTGGATTTTCCTACCAAGTGAATATTTATAGGAAATCAGATTTATTTTGTGCTTTCATGTTATAAAAGATGTAAATGCAGCTTTGGAAAATTCTTTCAGATTGTGTACTACTGACCTAAACAGTTGTTCTTATGCTTTGAAAAGCCTAGCAAATGAAAAGGAGTGCATCTGAATGGCAGAGTACGGCAAAACCACCCATGTAAAGAGTAATTTCACACAACAGTTTGCTGTATTGCATTTCTAAAATAAAAAGTTTACAAGCTGCTTCTGATCTAACAGCTGTGCTGCTTGTAAGGCACACCCAGCTGCCAATGATTTTGAGTGCTCTAACACTATAGTTAGACTATAATGATTACTAGTAATGATCCACTAAAAGCAGTGTGTCCAAAGAAATGTCGCTGGAAAAACTAATTATAATTAGGCTACTTATGTGTAGCAGGCGACTTTGCTCTTAAATAAACCTGTGTGGAAAGTATGATTATAAAGTAGCAGTCACAAAGTCAAGACTCTTGTTTCCTTCAGGGGACCGTTTTAAAAATGTTAAGTGGAACGCCAGCTAAAAAAAGCATGTTTTCCCCAGCCTCAAATCATCTTATAATCCATAAAATTACAGCCCATAAAAAAGTTAGATTTTAAAAACTATTTCCTAATCTGGGAAGGAAAAACCATTAAAATACACAAAGGCCTTCAACAAACACCTAATTAATGCAGCAACCTTTCCCTCGTGCTGGCAATCATCTTCCCTATCTGCCAGATTAAAGACGTGAATGCAGATTAGAAATAGCCAAATGCAAATAAAAACCAAGGCAGGGAGGGGCAGGATGGCAAGACGGCAGGAGAAACCGAGATACTGCAGAAGTCAACTTTTCTGCTGCCCACGGTTCTGTCAAGTTAACCGTGTCATTTCAGTAGAGGGGAACAACGCTTAGATAACTGTTCATGCTGTGTATTTCAGCACTTGTGTGTCTCGTGCAAAACTCGAATCATCTGTGACAGCACTGGCAGTTGAAAATATTTTTGGAGACTGCCTCACTAAGCCTTACAAAGCCATTTTGTAGCTGCTCCTAACTTAAAGTGACTGTGACATAAAGTTAGAACTACCTCTAACAGCAAAAGTAGTGAACAATCAAGCTGGATTCAAGAAAAGACAGAACACTTTTACCTAGAGGAAGGATCATTATGAGGCTCCGTCCCGAAACCTGGACGCATTTGTTCTCAGTGTTTTTTGTTTTTTTTTTTGCTGACCTTTGCTGATCGTAGGTTGACTCCTTTCTGCGACAGTGGAGGGTTACCACTCGATGGCCTTCGCTCCTCAAGTCCTGGCTGACAATCCACTGAGTGGGGTTGCAGGGACGTGCTCCCAGGAACGTCACTCCTTCTTTTAATTTGACCCTATGGAGAAAACAAATCAGCTGTTTACACATTCACATCCACAGAAAAGCCTGGACAACAGGTAAATAAGGTTGGCCAAGTCCTCGCCTTTAATAATATTACAAAAATCTGTATAAAACTCTTTAGACACATCTAAACTTCCCTAAACGTAGAAATAAAGTAATTTCAGCTACATTTTATGACTGCTGAGACAGAAAGGAACATCATGTTCATTGTAATCCAGAGAAAGATTGATTCAGGTGGCTGTGTCTAATAAGACTCCTTCTCAGAGCCTGGATTCAGTATATAGTTCCATCTCATCAATATAAAACATTTTCATCCAAAAAGACAAATTAGTGGTATATTTTTTTATCATTTTGTGTGGTATAATAGCTCACATGCATGTAACTTCATATAATGTGGTTTTGAAAGAATAGAAGCCTTTTTTTTTTCAAATTTCTTTCTTAAAATAATATAGGGAAATAGAGAGTTGTTCATCTTTGTACTAACATTTCCCAATTGAATGGAATATGAAGAAAATAACGAGTTTATGAATTGATTTTCTAAACTCCCTTAAGTTAAAGAAGACAGGAGGACAACAATAACACTCGAGAACATTTATTAGCAGCTTAGAATGTTTTTCAGAAGTTGATCATTGAAAGATCATAGCAGTAACTGTTACAGTGGCAAACTGCTATTAAATAAGACCCCTAACCAATGTATTGTTGTCATACTGACAGTGTTCAATTGTTTATTAACATGAAATTGTTATGGTTCTTTCCTTGTGGACTTCTGTTTGAGTTTCTTTCTAAGTTTTCAGTTCCACTTTGATTTATGTTATTCTGTTTCTTCTTTTTTATTGGTTTCTTTTCCATTTTGTGTTTTTTATATGCAGCTTTGTATTTCTTGAGTTACTATCTTTCTCCCCCTTGTGCCTGTTTCCTTTCCCCTTGGCTCCTTTCTAGTTACTTTTATTCACACCTGCTCCATATCAGCTCATTAGTTCATTATTTGTTCTGTTCCCCATATATACACCTCCTCTGCAGTTCCTTACTGCTGGTTTCTTGTTAAATTTGTTGCTTTGTCATTTCTTTGCTCCACATGTGTGTTTTCCCTGATGTTTCCTAGAATTTTTGAATTTCTATATTTTGTGTTGTTGGACTTTGCTTCTGTTGCCTGTGGGATTTTAAATTAAATCAGCAAAACTCATCTCTGCCTCCCAATCTCTGCAAAAAAACCTCCACTAAACCTTGGCACACACAATTGTATGCACTTTAATACAGGGATGTATAAAATCACAAATGAATTATTCAAATTTAGAATAATTTGGAAAACTGAACTGTAAAACCTCAAAGAGGTTCCGAAAATAACACACACACACACAAAAAAAAAAAAAAAGATACTGGAAAACACAGTAAATAAGATGTCAATTCAAGTATGCTTAAAATGAGAAAGTGCTGCACAAAGAGAGAGTCCGTTGTATCACTGAATGTTCCTATCTATCTATCTATCTATCTATCTATCTATCTATCTATCTATCTATCTATCTATCTATCTATCTATCTATCTATCTANCTATCTATCTATCTATCTATCTATCTATCTATCTATCTATCTATCTATCTATCTATCTATCTATCTATCTATCTATCTATCTAAACCAGAGTGACTAAATTAATAGGTGCAAGATCCCAATGATGTGAGGTGAGACATTTTTAAGTTCCCCTCGTTATGCAGGATCAAAGCCTAAAATTCAGCTACATTTAAAAAATTATGGGGAAATACTCCCTATGCACTTTTACTGCCTTCTCTCATCTATTTCAAAGTTTGAGTCTAAAATATTTCTCTCATTTTTTAAATCACAGCCAACTTAATCTCAATAACAACACTAATAATTTAAACTGAGGATTGTTCAATGAGAAATAATAAGCAGAGATTTTTAAAAACCTGTTTATAAATAACTAAACAAGAAATATTTGAAAGCTGTAATACTGATTCAGTTTACTATACTGCGCTTCTTGGTAATCGGTGATGAATAAGCATCCAGGCCGCTGCCCTCCAAATAAAAAAAGCAATGCATTTTTAAAATCAATATGGAAACCAACAGAAATCCTGTGAAGAGGGGATAAAGGGAATGAAGTGGTTAAAAAATATTTGTCTTTCTAAAGAAAATCTGTTGTAGATTTAAATCAATAAAAACTGCATGGTCTTATTCTGTTTGTCCACCTTCAGACATCCCAAAAACTCTTTGCAGGGAGATGCTTATTGGACCCCACACCCACTCTCTCTTGTTGTGCCTATGCAATCGAAGTAGTTCTTATCCGTACATGGTGCATGAATTATTGTCTTGCCTCCACGCTCTCACTTGCATAGAAAAAATACACCGTCTCACATAGTCTAAAATCCGGGATAATTTATCCGACTCGCGGGCAGCTGTGAACAACTATCTGTATCAGGGATCTTGAAAGTTAAGGTTAAAGGTATAGTGGGGAATTTTCCTGATTTTTTTAAAAAGACCTGCCCTCTCCAATTTTAGAAAAAAAAATGCACATGCACAACCCTGTACGCGCTCCAAAGAGGAAACTTCTATTAAACACGTGCGAGAGCATGCACAAGCCCATTTCAACTTGTTCACGCTCTGTTTAAAAGTTGCTGTTTGCATCGCTAATACAAGCTTACTTTACAAAGATTTACAATTTTCCACTATGCCAGACTCACCACCAGTAAGTGAAAATTGGGTCGAGCAAGTAGGACGGCCTTACGTAAACAGAATGACTGACAATAAGGAGGACCACCTATTTTGATTATCCACCCGGAAAAAGAACATCCTCCACTATACCTTTAAAGTAAAGTTAAGTTCCCCTTCAGGCTTGAGACAGAATAGGACAAATGATCAAAGCAAACTGGGCTTTCTTTGTGGAACCATTTTCGGTCAACAGAGATATGTGGTCAGGGGATGCCAGTGAGTCAGAGGCAGCAGCTCTGAACCATACTGGTTTGAGCCATCGGCTCATATGCTTTACTGTATTTATCATAATCTACAACTGCTGTTCTGTGTAGCTGCTCCCTCATACCACATATGATGGTTTTCATGTGGACCACCAATTAATATCTGAACCAGAAACTCTTAATAAATAAATAAAGATGAGGTACACTCATTTCTTTTCCACCTTAACAGCATTTTATATTTTCTATCTTTCTCTGTATGGGTTTTTTCACAACAGATTTTAGGTCATATGACTAAATGACACAAAACCTATGCCAAATTATTATACCAGACTGGACGGATGACAAAATTACTTTATTTATTGTGGGTACCTAAGTGAACCACTGTGTGTAGGAGGAGTGAGTCAGCACAGAGCAGGCCTTCCAGGGTTGAGTTGCTGACGTCAGTTCTACCACGATGAGGTCACATCCCCGGCTAAGCCAATTGAAAAAAATCAGATGCAGCATCTCCCTTTAAATCCGAGAAGGGTACCTGATACAGGATTTCAACAGTAAACTGTCAAATATTGCCTGAAACATTTAGACATCCCTATAAGACATCTGTTTACACAATTCATAAAAAAAAAAAAAGATTCAGAGATAAGAAACTTCAACAGAATGGCCCTGGAGTTTTAAACACTCTTAATAAACAAGACCAGAGTCCTTTGACTTAATTTAAGTAAAGCTAAGATACTTTAACTATAGCATAATAAAAAGTAAACAACTAACTATTGTAAACAGGGTAAACCTAAAATAAAAAGGTTTTATTGCAGGTTCATGTCATTGTGCATCTACTTTCAAAGGAATCTGTGACTCAAGGGAAATGAACCTCATCCCATGTCACTTTGTGAACAACTTCATATGAGGCTCTATGTTGTATTAACATGCCTTTGATACAGCTCTACTGCTTTTACATCCAAAAGTTATAGATTCTCTCTTTCAAAAAGAAAATAACACTTTTTTTTATTAACCAATAAGTTTACAACATCTTACAGTAAGTGTCTTTGACTCAGTGGACTAGAAATGAGGAACTTGTCTATTGAAGTAAATGAAAATGTAAGATAATCAAATGGACCTAATGCACATAGTCTAATTTAAAGGTAAAAGCACTGACATACAATAGATTCAGGCTAATGTTCCAGTGCGTAGGATAGTGGAAAGCCTGTGTGATGTTAGCCAAGAGTGACAGTGAAGTACCATGATTGAAGACCAGACAAAATTATAACAGAAGGCCAAATCACTTTCCCGGTCCAATCCATACCAGGTTGGCAGATGAGACCAAAGACCGGCCTTCGCTTTCATCTTGAATTTGTTGCTGCCCTTTTTAGATGCAATTGCCTATCTGTCATCCTATGAATATATCTGCCCTCTCCAATCAAGCCCATTTCTTTGATGTGATACCTCGTGCTGCTGGGCTGCAGGTAGCATGTGAGAAATGAAAGCGGAATCAGTGATCAACTCTAAATCTAAGGGTCTCTTCAAAAGTGTGTATCTTTTTTTTTATCCTCAGTGCTGTCATATACGTATATAATTATGTAAAAAGAATTTCCATCCGATGTCACTATGGTATAATGAGTGTGCATGTTTTATTTTTAGTTTTCCTCAAATGCTTTTTCTTCCAACATGAAGAGTTAACAGGTTCCACATAAAATAAAAAAAAATATCTACACATTATTTTGCACAACCATGTAATCTAATTGCTACATTTTAGCTTAACTGACTACAAGCTGTCTGCCATATTAGCTTTACTAGTTATCAGGACATCAAAGACAATACAGAAAACACGTACCTGTACATGAAAAGGTTTTTTCACAGAGGAGACAGTTTTTAGTAAATTCTCATACAACTGTTTCACTAGGATTACCCATCCTTTCCAATATAGACCCCACATACATCCACTGAAAGTAAACATTATACTGTAATGGTAAAACTTTGCAGTTGTGGGTATAAGTTCTTAGGTTATAAAAATGTGTAATATGTTTTCTCTATGCTGGATAAGGTCAACTTTCCTTTTTTTTTTTTTGCATTTTCCTGTA